CAAGGAGAGGATTCTTCATTTTTATAATTTTTTCTGATACATATACATGTTTTTATGTTGTGCAGCAAGTTTGAGCTGATTCCGATCAAAATTGAATTTTTTACAAATTTTTAAAGTTACTCAAAAATTGGGTCAAAATCCCTGTACTATAGTACAGGGATTTTGACCAAATTTTTCCAAAAATGACTAGAACAGAATTCTTCATTTTTATAACTTTTTCTGATGCATATACGTGTTCTTAAGTTCTGTAGAAAGTTTGAGCTGATTCCGATCAAAATTGAATTTTTTACAAATTTTAAAAGTTACTCAAAAATTGGGTCAAAATCCCTGTACTATAGTACAGGGATTTTGTCAAAAATGGCTATAAGAGAATTCTCCTTGTACATGCACTTAGTACTTATGTTGTGTAGCTAAATCTGTCCCTAGTATTGAGTACAAATCTCAGTTCTAGAATATTAAAATTCACTCTTTTCACTTGCAGTTTCCGCAACTAAAAGGTTTCATATTTGGAGAAGAAACTAACACTTTTACCCTCTCTAATGGAGAAAATGTAACAATAGTAATTGGACCGACTCCTATAGACACGGCTCACATGCTATCACGATTACTCGACTCAAAATTGGCCGGGGCCCTAGCGGAGACTATCCACAAAGAAATGAAGACATGTTTGAAAGAGGAAGACAGAGAGAAAGTCAAACTCCTCAAATATTTGGATGAAAGACAATTGGGAGTCTGGATTGACCCCTTAGGTACTAAAATTATGATTATTATCAAGAGTAGATAATCTACTCTTGTTATTATTATTATTACTGTTTTAATTTCAGTTTGACCTTTTACAGTAGATATAACAATTATATAATTGCTTTATTTATTATTATTATTTTAATTATAGACAGCACTAATGAGTATGTGAGAGGTGTCACTGGCTCCAGTAGTGATGGACTCTATTCCCAATCTATTCACTGTGTCACAACACTGGTGGGTGTTTTTGATCGTATCACAGGGAAACCACTAATTGGTGTCATCAATCAGCCGTTTCATTCTACTGAAAGTGAGGGGGTGTGGTGTGGGTGGAGTTTATGGGGAATCAGTGAGGAAGGTTTAATTGGAATGTCCTCACCTCTGACCCCTGGTAAGTGCTTGTGAATGATAATATTTCTATTATAATTTTATTTCTATTTTTTTAGTCAGGAAAGGCGAAAATTTAAATAAAAAAATCTGTTTGGTAAGCAGC